CTTGTTTGTAACTACTTTTATTCCTAACCCTACTCTAACCTTGACCTGTTCCTCATAGAGTCCTTAGTGTCCTCTACCACTATTCAGTTCCCTCATCTCTACCTGTTTGTTGGGCTGGATGTAGTTTGAAAATTCCTGATGCCTTATCTGTCTTCTAACCTCTTTTCAGAGCTTCACACACTGTGGCAGAATGAGGAACGGGCAGCTATTTCTTCGGGGAAACTCAATGAGATCTGGCACCGAAGACATGACTATTGGCTTCTGGCTGGGATTGTTCTGTATCCTTTGATACAAGTACAAGGAAAATGTTCTTACAACCTGGAAAGAGGGGAATTACAGAGAAGAGGAGTCCACACCGAGGGAAGGGGGCATAGTGCCACCCTTTGGGGAGATCAAGCCAAAAAGAAGAAATGTTCACAGCCAGCTCCTATCCCTGTTAAATTCCTTGATGGTTCTCTTCCTTCATTGGCAGCCATGGCTACGCACGGTGGCAGGACATCCAGAATGATGCTCAGTTTGCCATTATCAATGAGCCATTTAAAACTGAAGCCAATAAGGGGAACTTTCTGGAGATGAAAAATAAGTTTCTGGCCCGGAGATTCAAGGTGGGGACAAGGGACAAAAGGAACAATGTTGAAGAGGGGCTTGGGTCAGAGGTGGGCCCACATCTGGTTGGACTGCTGCTTGAGGCTAAAACTGGACTGTAACCTTGTGTTTGGGACTGTGGTCTGGATCTGGGTTGGTGCTAGGTTCGGTATTGATGTGGAGCTGGGGGTGTCAGCAGTGAGGGCAGTGTGGTCTCCCGCATTGCATCAGGCTCACCATCTGCTCACCCACTGCTGGCAGACACTGCACTAACTCCCTCTCTCCATGCCCTCAGCTCCTGGAGCAGGCGCTGGTGATTGAGGAGCAGCTTCGGCGGGCGGCCTACCTGAACCTATCACAGGAGCCGGCGCACCCCGCCATGGCCCTCCACGCCCGCTTCGCCGAGGCCGAGTGCCTGGCTGAGAGCCACCAGCACCTCTCCAAGGAGTCGCTGGCGGGGAACAAGCCGGCCAACGCCGTACTGCACAAGGGTAAGGGCCGCGGCGGCCCCGCGCGGGGGAGGGCCCACAACGCTGCGTAAGTCTTCACCCCGCACCCCTCAGAATCTTCCCACCCCTTTGACCCCTTTACCCTCTGAACCGCCCCCCTCTGACCTCTAACCTCACCCCTGACCCACCTGGTAGCCCCTTGGCTTTTAGCCTCTAGGGTTTGGGCAGCCAACCCTCATCCATGCCTAATAGCATTCACATCAGTGCTTAAGAGAGAGTCTCTCCCCAGGACTCCATGAGACTGTGCCACATCCCCTCCAAAGGGCAGAACTTCTTGCTAACCCACATGCCTGCCATACTTGCTAATAGCACCGTTTCTGGGGCCTTGGCCTGTGTGGAGTCCACAAAAATTCTTATCCCCAATCCCACAAATCACATTCCTCACATCTTATTCACTCCACGAGGTGGAAATTACCACCATCGCACCCTCTGACCCTTCCCCATGAAACTTCCCTTTGATCTTCAGCCCTTCCTTCCAAACCCTCTTACCTTGAAAATATTAAATTCCAAAGCCCTTTAACCACCTAATCCTATCTGATGTAGTGACTGACTCCTGGACCCGTTGATTCCTGTTCTAATTCCTAATGCTGACCCTCTAACCTCCCTCCCCCCTAACATATTAAAACCTTGATCCTTAAACCTCTGACACCACTTACCACCTCCCCATGCCTCCTATTTCCTCCCCAACATCCCCAACCCCAGACCTCACTCTTCCAGTATGGGATGTTCTGACAACTCCCCGCCCCCATGTCTTCCAATGTCCTCCCCTATCTCCCTCTTCTCCATATTCCCTTTTTTTCCTTTCTTCTCTCTCCATCTGTCTCTGTGATAATCTGGTTTCTGCCCCTTTACCTGACACTTACTCCCCCCTTCACTGAGTCACTCTCTTTTTCTGTGTACTTCTATCATTTTCATCTGGCTCTTTGACATCTGTGTCCTCTCGCTCTCTTTTTCTGACTTTATCTGTCCATCTGACTCCTCATCTCTTTTCCTGGCTCCATCTCTTCCTTTTCCTGTCTTTCTCTTGCCCTTCTTTCTCCGTGGCCTGGGCCCCAGTTCTGAACCAGCTGGAGGAGTTGCTGAGCGACATGAAGGCAGACGTGACCCGCCTGCCAGCCACACTGTCTCGAATACCCCCCATCGCAGCCCGCCTTCAGATGTCCGAGCGCAGTATCCTCAGCCGGCTGGCCAGCAAGGGCACGGAGCCTCACCCCACACCGGTAACCTCCTTTCCCTAACTCCAGTCTCCCTTTTGGTACTCCTGTACACATACATACTTACATTGAATCCTATACTATATGGAAAAATGATTTACTCTAGCGTACTCATCACCCTTGAGTCTCCCGTATATCATACCCCTCAGTAGTTCTGGAGTTTGACCCATAAGATTTTCCCTACAGCTTTTCTTTCCAACTGTGGACTAACTTGAGCTTCCTCTCTATTCCAGGTCTTTCCTCCGGGTCCCTACGCTACACCTCCGGGGTACGGGGCGGCCTTCAGCACCGCTCCCGTAGGGGCTCTGGCCGCCGCAGGCGCCAATTACAGCCAGATGCCTGCAGGGTCCTTCATCACAGGTTAGCTGACTTCCTCTCATTCCTCCTTTTCCAAGCTTTTCCCTGCTTAGCTACCCTTTTGCTGCTCCAGCCCATCTCATTTCCTTGGAAGTACCCAGAGTTTTATGGAATGGATTCTGGGGTTTGTTCTTCCCACCCCTTTCTCAGCTTCTCTTCCCTTGGTCAAAAACCTCATCCAGGGTTTCAGTGGTTCTGCAGCTTAGTACCTCTTACCTGAGCCTCCTCCATCTGGGCTACTTCAGGGAAAGAGAATATGAATGAAAAAGGGGTATAGTGAGTGTTGAAGCATATGTTCCACCATGTGGCACAAGGGGGAATCTCAGGGAGAGGCATTTGCCTTGGTCTTCCTACCCCTACCCTGGACAGTTGCAAGTGGCATGAGGTGACTTAGAAATGAGAATATACTATTGTCAGAAAGTGGTGTTTGGGAGTGAAGTAGGGATTTGACACTTCCTTATCCCCTTCTCCAATAGCCGCCACCAACGGCCCTCCAGTGCTGGTGAAGAAGGAGAAGGAAATGGTGGGGGCATTGGTGGCAGACGGGCTGGATCGGAAGGAGCCCCGAGCCGGGGAGGTGATCTGTATAGACGACTGACTGGATCCCAGGCCTGCCCGTCACCCAGGCCCCGTGCCCGAGGCCGACCCCCAGCTCAGGGTCTGGGGCCTGCTGCCAATCCTCCGCCTTCCCCACCCCTTGGGCCACCATTGGGCTAGGAGCCCCTTTGCCCCTCTTTACGACGCCTCTTTCCAAGAAGGGCCCTTTGTCGTTCTCCACTCCTGCACACCTTTCCCACCACGCTTTGAAGACTGTGCTGGTGAGAAGAGGTCTAGGTAGGAGATGGTTAGCAGGGTCTTCCAAGTACCTTTATCCCCCACTGCCAAACATACACAGCTTCCCGGTAAATGGTTGTGGGGAGGAAAGAGTTGGAGCTCCCCAGTCTTTATTCTTACAATATAAGCTCTCCATCTTGTGCAGAAGTGGGGGATTAGCATTACCTGGCCTTTAGAAACTTTGGTGGAGGAAAGGAGCTTTGAAGAGAGGAGGGGAACTTTAGATAGGGATGACAGCCCTGGGAGGGAGGAAGGGAAGAGGAGGGGTGGCTGCATGTTTCCTTCCCCTACCTCTCCTTAGAGTGTGGAGCAATTACAAGGGAGTCAATTGCTGTTCCACCTCAGAATAAAGGCGCCATTCACTGGCTTAGTTACCTCCTGCGTACTGGCATCTTGTGTTGGGCATCTTACCCCCTCCACAGGGACCAAGAACCACCCCTACAAAGAGAGTAAAGGTTGGGTGATACTCCCTCAAGCCAAAGAGGAGCTCCCCAATCTGTTCTAGGGACCCAGGTAACCTAGAAAGGGTGGGAGAGAACACAATGGGCCAGATGTTGGGAGAACCCCCAGCTCTGGGGCTCAGGTTCTTTGAGAACTTCTCCCCTTTCTCCTGAAGGCCTGAATACAGACTAAATTTGAGTGGATCAGGCAGGGGGCCTAGTCAGGGGACTACCTTGCTTTTAGGACCAGAGCAAAATAATGGAGAGCAGGCTGGGGATACATGGGCACGTACACCCTCCTCCCCAGAAGGGGCTGAGGAGAGTCGCAGTTTGCATAGCGAACCTCCCCACTTCCTCTTCGCTGCCCCTTCAGTTTCTTGCTGCCCTTTCCCCAGTCTCTTCACACTCACTCCTGGTCTGTTCCAACCCCCTCTTCTGTATCAGGTTTATTGGTTGTACATATAAATTATACTTTCCTTTCTGTGTGCTCTGTTATTTTTGAGTGGGAGTTCTTTGACTGGGGGGAGGGATAAGGAAAGAAGTGTGTTACTTTCTGCTGTTTCATATTATCCATCTTTTTCTCTTTTTTAAAATCTCATGACTACCTTTTTCTCATTTTTATTTCTCGGATCATCAATTGAAACTCTGAGGCTCTTTTTCCAACCCCAACCCTAATGTAATGAGCTCAGTTTAGAGATGGAGGGTGAGCAGCAGGATACCTACACAGGCCTCAGGTTGAGATTAGAGAGAGGGCAGGGATTACTAGACTGAAGTGTGTGAGGCGTTGCCTGCTAAGATTCAGAGCTGCCTACTACTATTCATCCTTTTGATCATCCTTTCCACCTTCAAGTTGCTTAGTTCCCACAAGTGTCAGTAGAGGTCACCAAAGCTCTACAGGTTCAGTTCCAAGTGTGCAGAAGTACTTTTTTGGGGGAGGGGGGGCAGGTCAGATCTCCACAGCTTGCTAAGTATTTGAATTGCTAGACATTTCCTTGACATGTATTGCTCATTACCAAGGCTGCTCAGAGGCTGAAAGAGGTCAGACACTTAGTTTTTGAGTGTTAAAAAATGAAAGATAAATCCAACAAACATTTATTGAGTACATACTATACATTAACACTGTTGTTGCCCTGGAGATACAACAGTCACAAGTCAGTCGTTGCTCTCATGAAGCTTACTCTACTGGGGGACACCAACAAAACACATACTATCTGAAAATAAAAGCAGTGAACATAAAATGGCATTATGTTTTCTGAGGGAAGGGGCAACACCAGGTAGAATGCTAAGAAGGGCCTCCCAAAAAAGGGAACATTTAAGCTGAGACAAGAAAAAAAGCTAAAATACGGTTACAAAAATTGAGGTTTATACTTAAGTTCACATTTTAACTCAGGAAAATGCAACTATGCACATGAAGAATATAGATTTCCTCAGCAACAGACTCGCTTTAGAACCTTCAATAAAATCGTAATTTATTAAATACCATTTGTGTTCTAAATATTTCACCCATAAATGGTAACATCCTAGAGCATCTAGGACTTGGACTGATGCTTAAATTTTTATGTCCACACAGATCAGCTGGGATTCTTGTTAAAATGCAGGTACTGATTCAGTAAGTCTGAAGGGAAATCCTGAGATTTTGCACTTCCAACAAGCCCCCATTGACTGTAATATACTGATGGGGTTTTAAAACAATTCATGGCATACAGTAGAACTCCAATTATGGGACACAAGATTAAAATTACATGATGAGCATCTTTTTTCAGTAGTGACAGTGTTTCCCTATGACTGTAAAAACATATCAAAAGTTTAAAACTTGATACCTTTACTGAATGTCTCTCCCTTCCATCCTTGAGTAGGCCCTAATTAGGTGCCTCAGATTACTGTTCTTTGGACCTTCTGATACCTGACCTAACAGGTTGAAGGGAGATTCTGAAATGAAGCAAGGCAGAAAGCATCTTGATAATTTTAGGAATACAGTACTGGGAGCAGGAAAGTGGGGAAACAGCAGGCATACCAGCATGGGGAAGGGGGGCGGTGGGGCAAACAGCTTATTTTTCTCAATTCTCCTATGTGGTGGAGAAATGAGATTAACATGACATGAAAATCAGCCTCTTTCCTGTTCCATCTTTTTGAAATTTTTAAACCATTGACACAATTGCTAAAATGGGACTTGTTGCTCCCACACACCAGAGCCGCCCTGGATGAAAGCCAAGTCACAGCTAAGGAAACAATCTGTCGTCTTCCCACGGGAACACAGACTTTGTTTTTATCATTCCTGGGCCACTCTATCCTGAGTGTGTAAGGCTGGCACAGTCAGCAAATGGGGGCGATTCGTCTAGGAGCCTCCCCAGCTCAGCATCAACACCTCCCAGGGCGTTCCCTCCTGCCCTAGGCTCCACTTCCTCATCAGTGCCAATACTGGGATGGGAAAGGGGGTAGCCTTGGCATCAACCGCTTGAACTACAGCACGCCCTGAGAGTGCAGCTCCCACCTTCCTTCTGCCTCAGCTTCTAGGGCCCCGTGGTTACAGCGTGCAGCGAGTCATACGGGCAAAGTCCTTGATCTCCGGACAGTACAGAACTAGGGGAAAGAAGAAGGGTTAGTGGCAGCGGGAAGAAGCAGTCTAATCCTGGGCTTTCTCCCCGCCTCCCCACCCCCGCAGTCTCCCGGGATGGCCCCTCACCGTTGCTAGGCAGCGGGCGCCGCCAGCGGCGCGCGGGTGACAGCAACCTGTCCCAGAGCCGTCGGAACGCGCGCCACCCCGCGCTCCTTGACCCCGACCCTTTGTCGCTCTCCTCTTCCTCATCGTCGGCTTTCCGGTCGGCCTCGCCACCTTCCCTGACCGGGCTACCAGCCTCATCAGGCTCACGTTCGGCGCGCGCTTTTTCCTCCAACCGCGACCACAAGTCCGGGTCCACAGCGACCTCCGTGATCCCACCGCGCGGGAGCGGGGTGGCGGC